ATACACGCGCACGCGCATACATATACACGCGCACGCGCATACATATATACGCGCACGCGCATACATATATACGCGCATACGCATACATACACACACACGCATACATATACACACACACACATACATACACACACACACATACATACATACACACACATACATACATATATACACGCATACATATATAAACAAAAACAGAGAGCCATACACAGTAAAGCTTGGGGTGAAGAAGCTAGACAGAAACCTTGATAGTGTTATGGGCATTTAGGACTTTTCAATTTTATAAGAAATAAATACATTTCATTAAAACCGAAAGTAGCCTCGACATATATGAATAAAAGCTAAAAACAGGTAGTTTCTAAAATGTTTCATGTGTGCATGACACAACTACTTATGTTAGCCCATTTGTGAAAAAAAATAATTTTTAAAAAACTAAAAATATCTTGCGAATCATTGAGAAACTTAGTAAATTAGAAACTTTCCAGACAACTGCAATGACTTTCATCACATTGGTAGAACTGGACTTCCACATGATAATGAAATGTAAACATGTTTTAACTTGTCCTGAAAGAAACGGGCAGCCATACACAACAGCACAATTTAAAAACTCCTAATAAACCTTTAATTTGAGCTGTTTGTACAATTGACAAATTACATTAAAACGTCTGCATCTTCTTAAATGTCGTATTGTACACCTCCCCCTCTGGCTAGCAGGTTAGGGATACTGGTAGCTCCAAACATACAATGCAGGGGAAATAAAGCTGCATATAATAGTACATATTACAGCTATATCAATGTACAGTGTTTACAGTCAAATACATCAGAGGGGAAAGGATGCATTTAAATGTGACGCACAGGGTTGGAGAAGTGCCATCACATCGAACCAATAATCTCGTTACAGTCGGTGTGGCTGACACGCTCGCCGCTCTGCCCGAGGTGTACAAAAATAAACTGGCTTATTTCGCAAAGTGTTCACTTTATTTTGTATCGTACACATCCTGACAATTGTTTGGAAGCGGATGCAAGGTCGATCCTTGAAAGAAAGAAAGTTATGACACATATTTAACAGCTCTAGTGACATTAAAATAGTACATCACCACAGCTGATTTAAAAAATAATAATAATAATAAATAGAGAAAAGCATTTGGTTTAATATCAAAGGAAACTGCTAAAAAATACCAAACCTGAAGATGTCAAACTCTATTAGACTACACTATGGCAGGCCTCACTCGCCCTTTAAACCTCTCTTAAATCCAGCACATTCTCCAGTGACGCGGTGCCTGTCTTTAACAAAGCACACATTTAAGGCACAGTTGGGTTGCTTACTGCAAACTGTTGCAGCAGGTTTTGAACATTTAAAAATGTGCATCACTTGTACAATTTCACACACTGCAAATACTGATTCCAGCTTTCAATTCACTCCATTAAAAAATGTAATCACGTCTGCCGAACACCTGGATTGTTAGCGTTTCTTTAATCCACAGATGCTGTAAAAAACACACGAGCAATCAGAATCCCTAAATTCAGTACAGTCTCCTTACAGGGATCGAGTATTTCAAACTGTCAGCATCCTCACAGAACTCCTTATGGCAATAAAAGAGTGCGTCGTTTGATCAGAGAGCAGTAGTGACAGTGTGAGGTTCCCTCAGCTTGTAAACTGGACATGAAACACCCTGAAGTGTGTGTACTCCTCTGGTCTGCTAGTCGTATCCAGAGAGGACAAATACACAGCATTTCTACCAGAACAGGGTTAGAAATACAACGAGGGGACACACCGACGAATAAAATGACCTGACTCTGAGGGAAGTAAATAATAAACATAATAACAAATAATAATAACTTGGGGACTACATTGGATTATAACTGGAGGAGAAAGCTTCAGGTGGCTGGTACGCTCCCTGATTCTGGTATATTGCTCAGAAGCAGAGAGTCTGGGAGTGCCGCTGGATTAGAAAAATCAAAAGACAAAGGGGACAGAAAAGGCTGTGCATGAGACACATGGAGAACACGACGGTCACAGAGGCTCAGTCCACTGTTCTCTGGATGCACACGTGCTGCCTGGTAACTGAGCAGCAAGAACAAAGGAAAAAAAAACGAGAGCTTATGGTTTTGCTTTTAATACGGACGATGTAATAAAGCTTGTGCCACCACTAACATGTATTTACAGCCCACCCTCTACAAGCCCAATCACGCCAGCCTCTCTTGACTAAATAATAATAATCAGAATAATAATAACAGGGAGTACATCAACACCCACGCTGTGTCGTATGGAGACATGCAGCCCGTTTCCACGCGGCGCCCAAAGGAGCTCCGTCACGGTGACACACTGTGGAAGAGAAGGG